GCCCGAACCGTCATCACCATCCTGCGCGGATCAACCGGAACACCTTTGCGGACGAGTTCATCCCAGTCCCTGACTCCCCCATCGCGGAGTCACCCACGACTCGATCCCCCATCCCCGGCACTCCGACCGACGAGCTCGAAGTAGCGCTACTCATCGCGCTTCCCCCATCCCCTATCATCCCCCCAACCCGTCCACCATCCGCTCCACCCATCATGGGACAACAAGGCGGACAACCGCAGACGACAGGCCCCGCCAACAACCCCCAGCAGACCCAACCGGGCACCCAGACAGCAACGCAACCCCCGGACCCCATGACAGTACTACTCCAATCGATGACCCTCCTCACCCAGTCCATGGCGCAGCTCGCCAACTCGACCACCAGGGCCAACAGCCTGAAGGCGGTTCAGAAGCCCTCTCCCTTCAAAGGCGAACAGGGGGGCGAAGCACGACGCTTTCTGGCCGCGTTCACTCTCTGGGCCATGTCCCAAGGATCAACGCTCAACCACGTGGATGCCACGGGCAACGCGATCAGCGCGCGCGACGACCAGTGGATCCGGGCAGTCCTCTCCTTCATGCAGGACAGTGCGGCTCTCTGGGCCACTCCGGCGATGGAGGAGATCACGCAGGGCACCACCCCGTTCAAAGGCCTGTGGACGGAGTTCCGCACCCAGTTCAAGGCCCGATTCGAGACGGTCGATGAGGCGGTCGATGCGAAGGAACGCCTCCGTACGTTGTGGCAAGGCTCCGTGACCGTTCCGGAGTACGCCGCCCGGTTCAACGAGCTCTCCACCCGCACGGGCTACTCCAAGGCCGACCTCCGCGACCGCTTCTACGAGCACCTTGCGGACTCCATCAAGGACGATTTGGTACACACGGCAAGGCCCATCGCTTCTCTGGAGGACCTCATCACCGTCTCCTCCGACATCAATGTACGTGTCCGCCAACGCCGTGCCGAACGGGATCGTCAGCGCGGACGCGCCACCACCACCACCACCGTGGCCAAGCCGGCTGCTCCGCTGCATGCCACCCCCTTCACGCTGCCTGCCCGGGACCCGAACGCAATGGACATCGACGCCACCCGCACGCGCGAAGAGTTCAACCGCCTCATGCGCGGCAAGTGCTACGGTTGTGGCTCTACGGCGCATGTCAAGAAGGACGGCGGCCACGATCGGGACATCTGCGGCTACTGTCGCCGCGCAGGGCACCGCGGGACGGTATGCATGGACAAGTTCCTGAAGAAGCTCCGCTCGCAGAAGCTTGCTGCAACAGAGGAGGGACCCGAGGAGCCTCAGGTCGCAGCGTCGACGTCGACGTCTGCAGATGCCGGAGCGACCAATGCCCTCATCGCCCAGCTCATGGAGCAGCAGAAGGCCCTCGCTGACCAGCTTGCCTCTCTGCAGAAGTCTTTTTAGAGCAGGCGTGCGCGAAAGCTGCCGCAGCGGCGCCCCCTAGTACGACTACGGACTCTCTGCCTTCCCAGATCCCTGACCCCTGCGTGTACGATAGTGTTAGTTCGTGTATCATTCCCGAATTAAACCCGTCTAGCTCGCATTTCCGTGTCAGTGTGATACTCAAAGGCAGAAACCGTAGTATACGTTCCGCAGCTATGATAGACAGTGGGGCAACGGCCCTTTTTATCAGCCACCGTTTTGTAAAGAAGAACAACGTTTACCTACATAGACTAGCTAGAGACATCCCCCTCTACAACATCGACGGCTCCAAGAACAGTGCAGGCAGCATATCCCATTACGTTAGATTACAAGTACTTATGGGCGACTACACGGAATGGCTCGAATTCTTAGTTACAGATCTGGGCCCCGAAGACGTCGTATTAGGCTTACCTTGGCTTCGCAGGGTCAACCCGGACATTGACTGGCAGGAGGGCACCATGGAGGTTGGTGCGGAGGAAACAGAGGCCGAGGCGGAATGGAAACCCGGTATTGAGCGGATCGCCGCCAACCGGGTGCAGCGAAGGAAGTGGTGGAAGGCCAAGGTCCTGGAGGACACGACCGAGGAGTTGTGGTGCGCCGCGGGGTACACCTACTCCACTGAGCTCGCACGGAAGGCCAACCAGGACAAGCCCAAACGCACGTTCGAGGAGATTGTCCCGGAAGAGTACCGACAGTACTCGAAGGTCTTCTCGGAGACCGAATCGGAGCGCCTCCCGGAACACAAACCGTACGATCATGCCATCGACCTCAAACCCGACGCCCCAGAAACTCTACGCTCCAAGGCCTACCCGATGTCGCCTAACGAGCAGGAGGAAGTCAATCGGTTCCTCGAGGAAAACCTTCGGAAAGGCTACATCGTCCCCTCCAAGTCCCCGATGGCGTCCCCAGTCTTCTTCGTAAAGAAGAAGGATGGCAAGCTCCGTCTAGTCCAGGACTATCGCAAGCTCAACGAGATCACGGTGAAGAATCGCTACCCTCTCCCCCTCGCGTCCGACATCATCAGTCGCCTGCGCCAGGCCAAATACTTCACCAAGTTTGACGTTCGCTGGGGCTACCACAACGTCCGCATCAAGGAGGGCGACGAGTGGAAAGCCGCGTTTACGGTCCACGATCGAGGCCTATTCGAACCGCGGGTTATGCTGTTCGGCCTTACCAACTCCCCTGCCACGTTCCAAGCCCTGATGAACTCGATCTTTGCCGATCTGATCGCTGCAGGGAAGGTCGCGGTCTACCTGGACGACATCCTCATCTTCAGCATGACACTCGAAGAGCACTGTGCCGTAACCCACGAGGTGCTGAAACGACTCCAGGAACACGACCTCTACCTGCGACCGGAGAAGTGCGAGTT